GTCGTCGTCGTCGTCGTCGCTGTAGTCGTAGCTGTAGGGGAGCAACAGCTCCAGGTAGCAGGAGAGGTAGGGTAGCAGTAGCCATACAAGGATGAGGAGCAGGAAAGTAGTCGTCGTCGTCGTTCGTAGTTGTAGTCGTCGTGGTAGTAGTATCGTATCCGGAATCGGAGGAGCAGGAGAAGGGGAGGAGTAGTGGCAACGCTCCAGCAACAAGCCTTGGGGACAACTGCAATGCGGTAGAACTAGGGGTAGCAGCGGGTCAACAAGCAAAAGAGGCAGGAACTTGAGCGGTGAGGGTTGTGATGCCAGACGAACGTCCTCCTTACCTGTATCAGGTTGAAGGGATGGAATACTGCTGCAACGCTGCACATTGTTGCTTGCGTGAGGCTAACCGAGGCTAACCAGCAACAGCAGAAGAAGCAGAAGCAATACCTTCACACGTCAACTGCGCAGCATCAGAATCGTTACGTGGGCACTGCAAGGTTGTAAAGCAGCGGAGATGCGGTTAGAGGTTATAGCATAAACATGCATTGACATGGCAATCTCCTCACAATTGCCAGTGGTATTGGACATGTCGCATTCGCAATGCCGCTTACGCGTCATCATTTGTCCATACTGGACGCCTGTCGCTGGTGCTACCTCTCCGAATGTTCTTGTTTTTTCACCACCTTGTTTCACATGTTTTCGCTTGTGCCTTCTTGTTCTGATGGGCCCCTGCACATAGCACACATAGCCTATGTAACTATCGCACAGTGTTTGTTTCTCGCCGCCTCCACTCTCAGTTCGATTCTTCACAAGATCGCAACATTTCAAGCGCAGTCCAAATCCGGACTTGCAGCCAGGTTGCGGAAAGTGCGATTACTGCGCACGTCAAGTTTTGGAACAATTGCGTGGAGTGCCACTCGCCTGCAGAGACGACATTCCGCTCTGCCGAAGCCGTGATGCCTTGTTGTTTCAGGTGGGCCTTACGCTGGCCTCATGGCGCTTCAGCTCATCCTTGGGGGCATGAACTTCCTTCTCTTCGTGGCCACCGGCGTCCGGCGCCCACGGCTCCCACGGCTACGGCTACTTCACAGCGTCGCTTGGACCTGGCTCAGGTCACGGTCATCATCATCATGTCGGTGATCCTTTGGGACCTTGGCCAGGTCTGCCGAAAGCTCCGCTTCTTGGGCTGTCCTGAGTCTGCCTGGCGTCGCCGCAGGCTGTGCGCGTCACCAACGATTTCACTTCGACGCACCCTCGAACTAGGCTACTCGCAGTTCGATGGGTTGCCATAAGTTCACCCCTTCGTCGCATGCGTTGAGACAGGCGTGCTGGTCAACAGCTGCGGCGGGCACGGGCCGTGGTTCGATGGCAGCTCTTCGGTGTCATACTGCATCTGGTGGCAAGTTCCGAGCCTGAACAGTGGGGTGCAGTGCGTTCGGGTGGTCTCCGTCCCGAAAGTGCATGCGGTCGCAGGGCTCCCAGGTTGAAATTCAAGTCTGCCAGGCTCAGGAAGAGCATTTCAGCCGGAGGGTGATTTGCCACATGCTCAAGACCCGGATTCTTTCATGGATTTCTGCGCTTCATTCGCAGGCTCCGCCCTGCTCCCCGTCGCTTTGGAGAAGCTCTTGGACGGTCGGGGCTACCGAAGTGAGCCGGACTTGGCCATCAGCTGTTCCTTCCAGGCTCTCCGAAGAGTGAGGTGAAAAGCAACAACCAGCATGATCACAATAACGCTGCATTTGACTGTAAATACCACTCGTTCGTACGATGCCACGCTGTACTCGGACAAGACAGATCGACACCAATACCAGCACATACTGGTACCAGGTTACCGGCACCAACGGAGAAGACTCGCACTAGGACGCGATAGTCTGCTCTGCACTTTTCTGCTCTGTGATCTACTGGGCTCGACTATTGACACAGCGCAGAATGACTGAACAAGATCGAAGAAGTGACGATCCTCGAAGTCCTCCTCCCTCCTCCTCCTCCTCCTCCTCGAAGTAGTCTGTGTCGCCGGAGTCCCCGTCGTCGTCCGTCGAGGCAGAGTAGCAGCAATAGCAGCAACAGAAACGATCGCAGGGGTAGTAAATGGTAGTAACAACCAGAGTCAAAACAACGTTAACAAACACGTGAAGCGGGTAACTGCAATGCGGATGGCATAGGGTAGGGTAAACAGCAGCAGTGGCAGTAACAACTAAAGCAACTAGAATTTGACAATTACTGCCAACTTAGTGTTGTTCCCCCTGAGCTTCAGTGTAAGAGATCGCACCGGCAACGCCGGAAAGGCCTTGGAATTGCTTACTTGCGTGTCTGCGGCCCTCATCCTGTCCGGTGGCTACCGACGACCCATTCGGCACCGTTCACGCGCAGATCAGCCGCTTTGGCACGGATATCGAAAGCGGGGCTTGGGCTGCGGAACAACTTAAGGGGGCTGATGGAATCTCCAAGAGCCCTGAGGCCGTGCAGCTGGCAGTTTGCCACCGCAGACTCGGCCGACTCCACGTCAATGTGCCCAGGCTTCGGAAATGAGCTGAGGCTTTTTTCAGCTCCAGCAGGCAGCACTCAAGACTCTCGTAAGGTCCTTTTAGCGATGTCACTAAAGTCTTCGCCTAGCGTACCCAAGGCGCCGTGAGAAGTCCGACAGCCGCCGCTTTGTGGCACGGAGACTCAGGTTGTGAAGCATAGGTCCCGAAAGCCAGCTCTTCCGAGAAAATTGTTAAAGACATGGCAACTGACAACGGGGGGGGGGAAGGGGTCACCACCTTTCTGACTTTTCAGACAGTAGGCCCCTCCGCCTTGAGCTACCCTCCTAACTCATATGTGTAGAGAAGAGATGAGGAAGGCGAGTAGGAGCGGATTCTCGAACACGCTCCTCCCCGACGCAACGGTCCAAAAACTCAACGAGTTTCTCCGCCTCTCTCCTCCCGTCTGGCTTGTCTGGCTACTTCTCAAGTTCAGGAGGCCATAAAAGTCAAGTCTATGTACTGGCAAGGGACCGACCGCACACAAACCAGGGCAGGGTTTAGAAGCCTTGTTGAGGCCTGTCCTGGACGTGCCCCGTAGGAGAGCTCAGCTTCGAGCGCTCGTCGACAGCCTGGAACATGAAGGTGGCTGAGATCGCGGGGCGTGGTATCACAGTGAAAGAGTTACTGGGATTCTACAGCTTCTGGGCGGCAAAACTGAGATGGCCGGAAGTGTGCCGCTGATGATGTCAAGCTACCCCATGCAATATCCGAAGGCACTCCTGAGCTCAGGAACTTTGCGGGATGTGATGCCACACTACAAAGCAAGCGTGCATACCACCGGTGATGCGCTTCAGACGGCATTCTGAGAAATGAATTTGCTGCGTGCAGTCGTTGTTCAACCTAGGTAGTGCGCCACGCCATTATTCCCATGACGAAAGAGTCTCGCAGCTCGTATGTGCAGGCCGTCTCCACTTGAAGAATCGTGCCCCAGATCCCTTGTCTGCCTTTTTGTTCAGGCTTTTGAGGGTGCTGGAAGAAGTGGTCGGCCCCAAAAGATGGTGACGCGGGGGCCGCAGGGAGACGGCATCAAGGCTTGTTAAAAAATCTGGTTGCTCCATGTCGTGGGCCCATTCTCTCTATTCACCGGCTCGGGCGGTCTGTAGGCTCAGGGTCAATCATCACCCCGCAAAACCACCCACCAGACCCAGAAGCAGCCAGCAAACAGCGTTGGAAAGCACTGGAATCTCGTCACTCGTCAGGGCCGCCCTAAGAAGCAATGGAGGGTCGCCCGCCACGCGAGCGCCGGCGGGTTGGGGCGCTGCTGAACGCGCGACTCGGCGACTGACTGACCCAGAAAGTCCAAAAGGGCCCCTTCAGAACTGAACTACGAGGGCGTTGAGATAAATGCCTTAAATTATGCCGGGGTTATAAGGTATGTTGCTGTAATCAAGCGGTATGGGGCTCTCTGCTGGCAGGTATTACCACATTGAGGGTACGGAGAAGAAGGATCCGGCTGTGGCCGTTCCCGGCGGCAGTGATCTGGACAAGGTTGGCTTTGATGCAAAGCGCAGCTTGGACATGCACCTTTCGTTTGTTTTGCCCGTGCCTAACCCATGGCCCCATGGCTTGCTCTTTGACGAACAGATGTGCTGAGGCTACTTTGACGGTCTGGTTTCTTCCGGACAGCTGCCCGAGCTCGTCAAGCGCGCCAACGAGCTGGACGCTGAGATCAAGGACAGGTGGCGGTCTAAGGCTAAGGGTTTACATGATTTTCACTCGTCTGCAAGTAAAAAGATGTGGTCTTCAGAGACCCTTTCTGGGAAGCACTGGCAAGCAGCCGCATGTCATGGCATTCAATAGCATGCTCCCTTAACAGGATCTGGATGGCGATATGCAGATGCTAGTTTACGAGCACCCTGGCATCTTTTCGGGGCTCCTTGCAGCCGTAGCTCTCCGGGCTTCCTGCAAGGAACTACAGCAAGTTCATCCGAGCAACAGAAACTTGGCTAGTTGCAAAGCCATTCACTGATGTGAGTTTTTTTGTTTTGGAGGTTGCCAGCTTGCCACCACCTCGCAGGGAGCCTGTCAGCTGAGGATGTAATCAAGCAGATGAAGTTCACGATAGAAGGGCTGGACCCCGACTTGAAAGTGCTTGAAGGCAATGTCTCCAGGACAGTGCTACAATTCTACAGCGGTGCTGGGAGCATTGCCCTCTGCATCTCCTTCCTCGACGCAGGATAACAGAACACCAGAAGAAGGTTGAAGATGGGACATCAGGCAGAGCTGGCCGGATCGAGGACCTGCTGAAGCAGCCCCTTCCTTATATACCTCCGACCATATGTCGGCAACGAGTACTAAGTCACTAAGTGAGACAGTGGCGGAAGAACTCAACAAGTGCAGCGAGAAAGATTCCAAGACCCGCTCAGGCAGCGCGTGTGCCGCAAGTTGCAGGCCTTCTCAGTCCAGTTGCGATGTGGACTGGATATGGGGCATGATGATGACGACTAATGCCTGCACTAAATCTCACCTGTCCTGGTTCAGCCCTGAGGTGCTCTTTGAGCTTCCTGCAACACTCCAGAAGTGCCTCGATCGAAAGGCCTATGGAGAAGCAGTGGAGGCATATTGCTGCCAATCTGCAAGGAGCAATCTTTGGAAGTCCGGTTGGCATGTCATCACCCCTTTCGAGTGAGTGCCTCTATCTCTCCATGACCTGCATCTTAGGCTGCTGTTCAGGCTTCCTTCGTCAATACAGGTGCCGTGGGAAGCCGTTTGTAGGTGCGGCCCGGAGGGTGCTTCTGAGTAGGCATGTGCCTGTGACAGGCACATGCCCACCTTTCAGAAGGTCCTGGAGGAGGCCATAAGGGGTGCCCTGAAGATGTGTCTCATCAAACAGGTGCCTTCATGAAGCTCCGTATACAGAGCAAGACTGGGTTCGAATTGACACTGGAGACGGCAAAAGTGGAAGTGCAGACCCTTGCCTCCCAGTTCTTCTCCAATGACAGGTGGAACTTCAGATGGGTCGCATCCGCGTGGCCCTAGAAGACCGCTTGCGCTCTCCAGAGCTCTCTGTTGAAGAAGCCGTCAACAGCCCCCTGGCTCTAAGAGGGTCCCGACACTATGGAGTGCCTTCTTCTCGAGAGTAGCTGTACCGGTGGTGTATGTCATGTTAGGGCCTGACTGAGATATCCTTGAACAGTCCTTGGGCCGCGACAGGTCACGTTTTCATCCTGTTTTTCCTTCATAAACACTGTACCAGACAACCATTGGCAGCAACGAACTTCAAGATTGCTGTCTTCCCAGAGCAGAGGGCCTGAAAGTGATGCTATTTCGGGCTGCGCCAGTCACATCACGAACCCTGACCTAAAACACACCTGGTTGTGATGCGATGCCAGTGTGCAGATAAGTCCACCCGTAAGGTCCGAAGCTTTAAGCGTTAACTAGGCCTTGAACTCCAAGAGTCAGACAACTAGAGCCTTGTCTCAAGGCTCTGTGACGCTGTTGGATCTTGGGGAGGACCAGGTGAAAGTTTCCAGCGAATATCTCACTGGAAGGACCCTGCACGGTTTCGGGTTTAGGGTTTAGATGCGAGAGTAGATGCAAGGGAGAGATCCTCCAGGACGGGTGCTCTTCGAAGCCGCCTGGCGGCTTGTTTCGATCCCCTTGAAGATGCCCCAGGCTGGTGGCAATACGACGAAGCTCTGGGGATCTCCGATCTTCTTCTTGCCTGAAGGACCTGAACCCGGAGATGAAGAGCTCTCCAAGGATCAGGCTCGCGAATGAGTTGGAGATTATAGTTCCGGTGTGGGAGTCTGCACTTTTTGGGCATTCTTGGCTACTGGTTTAGGACTCCTTTAGCTCTACGTCTCGCTGTGAGGAAGAGCTCCGACGACCTGAAAGCTTGGCCTTGCACGGTGCGTGCAGGCGAGCTACAGAGGCCTTCCTGCCTCATCTACTGACTGGTAGGCTACTGACTGGTAGTATTCGTGCTGCTGTTGCTACTTGTCTATTGCCAGTGGTTCCTGCAACGACAGACCTACGTTCCGATGCTTTGCGATGCTGTCGAGGGCCGCAGGCTCAGGTGATAGTAAGTGTTCTTGGAGGTTCATGGGTAGTTATAAGTGGGGTTATAAGTAGGGTAACTATAGTTATAACCCATATTAGGGGACTTTTCACCCCACTTATAACTACCCATGAACCTCCAAGTTCTCAGTGGTGCACATTCACCTTTTCACAGCGGGACCAGCTGCATCGCCCCAGGTTTTCAGAAGTTGCTTGAGGTTCGTTGCTCGTCCTGCAAGCAGAGCTTCATTCTCGCAGATGTCGCAAGCCCAAGCCTCCGCAAGTTGTTTGTAAGGCTCCGGGTCTGGATCTGCAGTTGACGAGAACGTGCTTCCAGACTTCGTGAGTGCCAGAATTGAGGATCTGTGCGTGGGGAGCTCAATGCTGCAGTAGCGTATCGTCGCAAACCGGCGAGTTCGGGTTCCGATTCAATGCATGACCGACAGATACAAGGACCGTATCACGCAGCTGGTGGACAAAAAATGTCCACCTACGCGGGTGCTCGTTTCCTGCATCCATTCTGTCCGAGATTCCTTGAGGCAACCTCAACTTTCCGCGGAGTGTTTGGCCGCTGCAAACTGTTCGCGTACAGATGCCTTTGGAATCGAAGGCGGCTACATTCGCTCCTGCCAGCTTTGCTTACACGGCTCTTCCGAGCTTTCCTTGGACGGACGGCGTGGCGCTGAGCATTCGCTGCAGGGGATATCATGGGATGATGTAGTGGTCTGGCTGGAAAGCACACAGTGACTACTGCAGGCCATGGATGCCATGAAGGCACTATTTGCAACAGCCTGCTCAGCGATGCTGACAGAGATGTGTAAGCTGTACGGGCCCCAGACAATCATGTGACGCACTATGGGGTGGATTTTCTGGTGAGCTGCTACAAGGTTTTGCATAGTGCATGCTCAACCAATCCAGGCACCAGGAATGCAAGAAGCTGGGCGAGTCCAGCAGTTCGGGCTTGGACGACGTGTTGGAAGAGATCGCGAAGACCGAGCAGTCCGTAATCATGCTGCTCTGCGAATTTGGTTGTCTGGAAGTGCTATTATGCTTTGGAAAAGACTGTGGCCTGAGCTGGAGCAGCTAGGCATGGGTTCACGGCCTTGACGGAGTGCCAACCACTTCAGAGCCTCCTTGGCCCCGACAAGGATCGGCGGGCATTCTGTGAGCTTTGCATTTATGGGTGCTTGCACTGAGCTCTTGACAGTGCTGGGCTTTCCTTCATGAGGTGGCTGGCCAGCAACTCATCAGGGGACTCCACTCGCAGCTCCTTGTACGCAAACATGGCCTGGTTTAGATTGACTGGATTTCTCTGACTTTGCCATGCTTAGCTCCGGAGGCTTACGACGTTCTTTACGACCTTCACGGAAGTCTGCCGCACATACGTGGCTTGGCCTGCCTAAGTCTTGCCATGCAGGCCACGTGTCAACACAAGAGATGGTTCCGGTGTTCCCCTTTGTCTGAAATTCGGAGCTCTCCTACACAGCTGTGCCAGAGTTCTGAACTCACCCGGTCCGGGCTATGGTCTAGGAGCCATCAATTGGTGCCGCAGCTTTTGAAGTGAAGGCAGCTCAAGAGAACTCAATCGCCTTTCTCTCGCACTCGTCCACATGGCGTCTCAGGGAGCCACCTTGCAAAACTACAACAACGAGCTCGTGAAGTCTATCGAAGATCTCCGTGAGAAACGCGAGGAGCTGAACCGCCAGATCCTCAAGGAGGAAGAAGACAAGGCGAAGATCCAGAAAGAGCTGTCCATCCTCACGGATCGGCTGCAGAAGGTGAATGAGAGCTTGGTTCGCAAGACCCAGGCCCGCAACGAGTATGACAAGACGATCCAGGAGACGGAAGCCGCTTACATGAAGATCCTCGAGTCCTCTCAGACCCTGCTTCACGCCTCGAGCCCAGTCGCCGGCGTATAGTTCTCTTGAAGCTGTGTTGGGAGCAGATTGTTGCGGCGAAATTGCAAGAGTGGGTTTAGTCCCGAAACCCTAACAGGAAAGGGGTACGCCCAGCGGCTTTACACTTGTCACGGTTTTTGCATCGCTGCGGTCATCGTGTCCCTCAAACTGAGGTCCTCAAGCGCGAGACGGTGAACCTGACCAAGACGAAGGGAGGAGGAGGCGAGCAGTAGGTTGGAGTTGGCATTTCAATGGAGTGAGCCATGATGGCCATACGAAGCTTACCATTTCGGTTAGCACAATTAGTGTGCACCGGCACACTGCGTATTTGCCTGGTGCTGTCCCTGCACATGTTGGCTGCACGAAGCTCCATCTTTGCAGCTGGATTATCCGTTTATCCATATCACCACATCATGGAAGATGCGTGCTGCGGGTCGGTCACCGGGCGCGGGGCAGAGCATAAGATATGCACTGCCCATGTAACCGCTTGGACAATGTTTGAGCACTGTGGCTTGCAGGGAAAATTGGAGAGCTCTCCTGCCTTGCAGACTCAACTGACATGCACCGGGTACATCGCAGCTTGTGAGGTGGGGAGCGACGTCGGCGAAGCTCTGCTGCCGTTGCCAATGGCTAAAGAGATGAAGCAGGTGGCTGTGCCTGGGACCATTAAAGCTGTGGCAACTCGAGCTCGGTCCGCCAGCTCCCAAGAGTTAGGCAAAGAGTATCGGATCATATCAAATACGATGTGGCACTGAGATGGCGAATAAGTATTGCCAACATCGCCATAAAAGCATCCCAGATATGGCCCTAAGAAGCCAGATGTACACCCACTAGAACCCTATTTTAGATTATTCTGCTTATGAGGTTAGAAGAAGGCACGGCACATGATATGGAGCAACCTACTTGTACATCAGGTAAAATGTAACATTCGGTCGAGTATGTCGTGTCACACAACCGAGGATCTCGAATGGTGTGGTTTGTTTGCATTGGCTTTGGTGCGGGTGGGCCGGCACCTGGAGGTCAAGGCCATTAACAAGGCCTGGTCGCATCATAGTCACGTCGTAGTCGTGGTGGTGTGCTGCAGCGCTTTGATGCTTTGGGATACAGGGGGTGATAGGGGTTTCGGGGTTTTGGTCTTTGGGACTTTCGGGTTTTTGGATTTGCCTTCAGTTCAAGGAATTCGGTAATTTGGTAAAACCAGTCCAGTGAGTCCGCATCCGGTGCTTGCAGGTCTGGGGCGTTGCAAAGGACCTTTTCGAGGGTGCAGAGGCTGCAGCAGTTGAGCTCCAGCCAAATGCAGTGGAGACTTGCCGGCAACGTGTGCCTCAAGCCCTGACAAAGCTGAATTGAAGCTTTCCTGATTCGAAGTGGGAATGTCTGCAAGGTTCTGAAGTCGACGCGGGGTGCGGCTCAAGCAGTCATCACGCAGTATGTGCCATGCTTGGACAGTGCTTGACAGAGGACCAAAGACGTCATGTCGCAGCTAGTTGCCTTGACTGCAAACCTTACAGAGAATCGAGGCAACCATGAGTGGGCAACGGCTGGCCCACTTCTTCCGAAATTCTGTGCAGAGTCGCAACTGGATGACGGCCGCTCGGGGGATGGGGCCTTTGTCCTTTTTGGTGTAAAAGGTTGGAAAAACCTGCTTTTGCTTGCTTGGTGGAGGTGCGGGAACCACAAGAGCCACGCAAGGTCGTGGAGATGGTGCTTCGAGAGGCGAGGGCATTATATTTAGAGTCTATATAGAGCTTGGGTTCGACACGATCTGCAAGCATCGTAGAGAGGCAGCCGCGTTTCATCCTGCCTTCGGATGAAGACGGGTTGCAGAATCGCATCCGTGCACGCACGAACCTACCAAGAGCTTTGGGACGGGACGGCTAGATTAGTGTTTGCAGAGATGAGACAGATGTCTATAGATACATATGATGTAAACATAAATAAAGCAATACATGCACGTTTTGAAAGTTACATAAATGCTTAGACAAAGATATACGTACAAGGAAATCTCCTCCGAGTTATAAACCTCACCCAATATACAAACCGAAGAGGAGATTTCAATCAGGGGATATGAGGGACCCCAGGGATCCTTCCAGGGTACTTGTAGACTATGACGGTATCGAATCCCTCTCTCTCTCTCTCTCCCTTTTTCTTTCTCGCAGAGTTTAAGTTTAGAGAGCGACTGTGTCCTAGAACGGTTTAGGGACAATCCCCGCATCCGAAACCTTACGATTGCAAGAGCGAGCGTGCACTAGAGCATATGAGTTGAGTTGACTGCAAGAACTGCAGCCAGCAGCAACCGCAGGAAAGGGTCGGTGCCTGCCCAAAGAAGGTTGTAGAATACAGCGCCGAGCAATGGGAAGAGACCAAAACTGACCGTCCAATAGTGAAACCCGGGTCCGGGAAAATGGGGTTTCAGTATTTGGAGTGGGGATTAACCCGGGGAAGAGATTATATGTGTGTGTGTGTATATATATATATACATACAATGTATGTACATATGTTTACATGTATACATACAATTACATACATACATATATGTTTAGACATTCTATGCACATACATATACAAACAAATAAATAAATAATACATATATATATATATATATATGTACTATATAAATACCGACACGAAGGGTGGATGTAGATGCATAAAAATACGTAAGTGTATGTGTATGACAATGTAAATACATGTTACCTTCATGCCGAAACACCATGACTGGAAGAGATGCAAAAAGACGATGCTGTGCGAGAAGGTGCACGCCTTCGATGCACAGCTGGCGCGGCTGCTGGGTGATCCCAGGAAACCAAAGACAGGTGGGCTTGTTGCTACAGCTGACTTTCGCTGTCCTACTCCGGTCTGTCTGGTCGCTTCCAGGAAGTTTCGGCTTCAGATTATTGGGGACCAGTCATCGGCCAGGCGACCACCGAAGGAATCTGTCCCGCTTCAAGAACTCCATGGAGCTGGAAGTAGAGCGTCTCTGGGCCAAGAAGCTCCAGGCAAGAGTGGGTGGGGCTTGCTTGGACACGGAAGTCAAGTCGATGCCCTGAGGTGTTTGCTCCGATTCCCTTCAACAGGAATGGTGCGATTGTTGGCATACTGCGGATTGCCTTCAAGGCAGGAAGCCAGGTCGTCCGGCTGGCGCTGTCTCAATTGAATTCCAGGCCTTCTTCGAGTACGTAAGGGAGGAGACTTTCGGGAAATACGGCCTTCAACAAATCCAGCTTGACTGTGCCTTTATTGCAGAGATGGCACGGTCCCCAGGTTGTGCCAACGCCAAGCTTCAACCTTCAGTCCGCGTTGTTTTTCTCAGGTCAGAGACTTCGTGGAGAACGATGATGCAAGTGTTCTGGACTACGCGGGTTGAAAATGCACAAGGTTTCTCAGCACCACACGGAACTACCATGCCAGGACAGCTTGTTGGACGAAGTCGTTGCTTCTGCCCAGCTGCGCTGCGTCGAGCCAGTGGCCATGGATGCGCCGCTGAGCCTTCACATGGCATCTGCGATTGTAGTAGGTTTCGCGTGCTAGATCGCGTGCTGCCCGGCTTTGTTTGACATGCCTTGAGAACGTCGCACGCCAGGTCAGTGGTCGAAGCCCGCTGTGAGGAGCAGAAGAAGAAGTTTAGATTCGACTAGTCCAGGATGAATCGACTTGGAGCGCGCTGCTCCGTTTCACCGGACACACGCCGAGTACAGGCCCGACAGCTTCCGCAGCCAAAGATGCCCAGGCTGCGTGCGGAAAAGAGCTCCATGCCACGGTGCAACATCTCCGTCACCTGCGACTCGATTGATTGCTGATCGAACGTGACTTCCTTATGCTGAGGCACTGGTGGGGGAATCGCTTTGTGGATCTATGTGCTGCTGTCGTGGCCGATGCGTTGGAGGACTCTCACTGAGAATAGAAGCTGAAAGACAAGACACCTCTTGACCGCGTTTGAACTTCCGCGCTTTGATTGGGACGAGAATCGTAGAAAGCATCGTCTTTGCTGCTGGGTTGTCACCAGGAGTCCAGCTACGGTCTGGTTTCACGCTTGCTCCAGAAGGCAGATGCCCATAGCCAGAGCATGCCAAAGCTATCTCTGGCTTCCAGTGTGCTTGGCCCTGCTTGGCGTCTGGCGTGGTCTATCCCTGGACAGGATGTGGATATCATCGAGCGCATTTTGGAGAAATGCGGGCGGCTCCAGGACTGCTACTGGATTTGTGCCTTCTGCGCGCTGGCGGCATAAGGGAAGAGTCGTGAGTTTGGCTTCGCCTGCAGTTGCTGGCAGAATCGGCCTGTAAGGTGTAAACCAACATGCGAGCATTTGCGTGCCTCGCTTGCAATATACACGGCATCGTCGCCTTTTCTCACGGTGAGTCATTCCTGCGCTGACCTTCACATCGTGCCGTTGACGGGTCAAGTCAGGATTGCAATCATCATTCCAGAGATTCTCTGACCGCCCAGCGATACCCTGTTTGTGATTGTGGACTTCCCAAGCAACTTGGTGTACTGAACAGCTCTCGATCTCTGCCTATTGGGAGGGGGTGTCTTGCAACAGCAGCGACGTTAAGCCGGCCAGGTTTGCCACACCAGGGTTTTGTAGGCTCCACACGTTTCGGGTTTGCAGCCTGGGTTTTTAACAGTACGGCGGACTAGTTCTGGCATCATGGCTTGGGGGCAGACGAGAGCGAGGGTTCAGAATGGTTCAAACGCCTCTCCTGCCAGATGACCATTCCACTGCACTGTGGCTCAAGGGAAGGCTTGGGCGCGAAGAAGCTTGTCCAGGTGAAAAGGACCGTCTTTGGAGAGAGTGTCGCGTTGAGTGCTTGGCATGAAGATCTTACGGCTGCTTTCCAGGCATCGCCTCAACTTGCTTTGAACAGTCAGGACATGCTACGAGCGTCTCTTCGATCCCGCCTGGTTGCAGCCCGATGGAGTCGTGGTATCACCGCCAGAACAGTCAGGACCCATTGACCACATTTTCACCCTCATCATGGTAACCATTGTGGCTTCGTGTTTGCATTAATCTTGCTAATTTTGTGATGGTCAACCCCTAGCTCAACATCGTGCTTTTTGCTATCATTTACTGTTTGCGTTTGTACTTACCAATACCACAGGTCATTGTCTGCAAAAGAAGGGGACAGGGCTTTGCTGAACCCCTGGTGGGCGCAGGAGCCTCCGCCTCAGCGGGGCGCCGGCAGCGTTGCGGCCACTGCCGCGCTTCCTCGCCGCTGGGTCGCTAATTGGTGCTTCATGTTCCTGGTCATGGAGTCTGCTGTCTGAAGTTCGAAGAAGTGCTCTTGCCGGGAGCTCTACTCGTTCGAGCAAGTTTCCAGCGAGTGTTCCGAAACGCTTGGTGTACAGATGAGGCTGCAAGTGCAGAAGGAGGTGAAGGTGGACATGGCGCATCGGAAGGTTCCTGCAACATTTGGGTGCGAATGGGTTTCCGCTATACTAGGGAAGTCTTCGTGCCTGCCCACACTCCTGCTTGTGCCGAAATCATTGCGGTTTCCGCTCACTCTGTCGACATGCGCATTCTGTCGTGAGTATTGCAAAGGTTTGCAAAGCAAAGCCGAAAAGCGGCAGCATGATGAAATCGCCTCATCGTCATCCCAGCAGCCCCTGCTTTGAAGGAGCTGAGGGCGGCGAGGGCACAGGCGAGGGCGCGGCCCAAGGCGCCCCGCCGGTCGAAGGTGGCGAGGTGGAGGAGCTCTTCGCGTTGCCACTCTTCCGGAAGCCTGCTTTCCCCGGGTGGCTCGGTGTGAGAGATATTACTTTCAAGTCGTGAGTTTTCTTGCACCAAGCTTCCTTTTGGTGTTTTGGGCACAGGTTCTACCACCTGGTTCAGATCACGTCGCCACAGATTTTCGAGTTCATTGCCAACTTACAGGCTTCTGGCCAGGGCCACTATTTAGCTGGATTCATGACGACGGAGCTGCCCGCCGAGTTTGCGGACCCGGGTTTATGACAATGCAGGGGCCCGTAGGCTAAGACGTGAAGAAGAGCTGCACTAACACCCGCCAGGAGCACGCAAAGTAGGGGTTCGATTGTGCGCCCATCTTCCGGGAAGTGACATGCCTGGGCATGCTCAATCATAGTACACCCTTTGCCTTCAATGTTTCGGGGATCACGTAGTTTGTACCTATAGTTCGAATCTGATCCCGTGGGTAAGTAATGTCGTGTTCAAAGGTTCATAGAACAAGCCTGGCGTGAGGATGCGCCGCAGAGCGAGACTGCAGCGCCTTTGGTCTCACTGCCCCCGGATTCACAGCCGCCTGCGGCAGAGAAGAAGCCTCTACGGAAAGACACCGGCAAGGCATCGGAGAGGGGTAGCAAACGAGACTGCAGCAAAGGCCTCAGCCCCAGCCCAAATGCTGGAGTCAGGTGGACAGCGTCGATGAGCTGGTGGAGGCACGGATGTTTCTGCAAGTTCAGAAATTTCGAGGGTCCTTGAGCTTCGTTCGTCTCGCGATTTTCTGGACTGCTGTGCTCCTTTCAAGCGACATGCAAGATCGCCCGGCAGGTCGGCACAAAGCTGCAGGTCACTTACCACAAGAGCATCAATGTGAAAGGGAAGTTGTCCCAGGTTTCGGAGTGTTTATGTCCAGGCTTTTTAGTCGTCTGGGTGGTTTCAAGTTTGTAATTGTAACTTCCTGCTTTGTTTCCTGCGGTTACCGAATGTTTGATTTGGTGTTGCTTGACATGAGCAAGGTCGTCTCTTTGATCAGCCAGTCCCCCAACTCGCCTGGTGGCAGCCTCCTCGTCATGCCGACAGGGAGAATTCGAAGAGCCGCTTCTCTGCGTTGGGCAGTACTCTTTCACTTCCATTTTCCGATGCATTTTACGCCGTTGTCTGCAAGCGGAGCAGCCCCACAGAGATCACGGAGCATGCTAGGATCTGCTATTGGTAGAACCCGCGTCCTTGCGTGCTTTGTATCTTAGTCTTAGTGACTGTCCGTGTTTCTGGTCTGGGATGGCTTAAGCTTTCGGAAGATTGAAGCTGATGACACTGGCTGTGGACAGGTCGGGGTTGCCCCACAAGAGGGACCATCTGTCGGTCCCCTCTTCAAGTTGGAGACGGTTGCATTGCCAAATCAGGTGGCCGCTCGGACCGAAGGGTTTCGTCAGAGGTCACTTGCTGGTTTCAAGTGAAGCCAATCGAGGTTCCAAGTGCGTCCGATGCCAAGCTTAGCATGGAAATTCGGGCACTACACTCCGAGATGGTTGCGACTATGAAGGAGCTTCGTAGTGCCCGGCCCGGCGCTCGCAGCATTGCACACAGTGACAGATGCTTCAAGCAAGGAGCTGCTCAAGATGCCCTTTGTGAACAAGGACCAGTTCGAGCAGGTGATCAGGCATCCCAGCAACTGAGAGCTCACCCCTTTTCCCGTGCCCCTGATTTGCATCACACGCCAGGTATTACAGTCTGGACGATCCGTTGAAGCTGGCGGACCTTGTTGCTTAGCCGAATCTGCATGCGAGGGGCATCGGGGGCCCGAATAGATTGCATCCCTTCAGGCGGCGGGAATGTCCAGCGCACCCAGACAAGACCTCCAGGAGGTCTTGACATGCGAGGCCAGATGTCACACTGGTGCTTTAGCATATTTACCCTTTGTGTATATGTGCACATATGTTTTTTTTCTCTGCTTCTTAACATCGTTATCCAGCAGGTATTTGCTTTCCAAACAAGTATCAGGCAGCTTTCGTGCCAACCTCTTGCTCAGGATCCCACGGAGAGGCTCCGGAAGGTGCTTTTGATCTTGAAGAAGGACCCGGGAGTTCCAAAAAACAGGGGGCCCGAATCTAGAACCGAAACTACAAGGACCCGAAATGCATCGTAGGTTCGTTCGTCCTAGCCGGGCGGGAGGCACAAAAGCATGTTGGCAGAAAACCCCACATGCAAGACCCCGCCTTGTCTGTCAGTCTGAATGTAGTTTGTAGATTGTAGACTATAAATATACAAATAAATAAATATATACATTTATATATATATATATATATATATGTATTTATTTTAGTATTTATGTTGGTGTGCGTGTGCTTTTTCATCGGGGTGACTTTTGAGACTATAATCATTGGTTTCAGGCAGATGTATGTGTACAGAAGTACCGCGAGGAGGCTCGCAGGGACTGAACACAAAGCTTCACCACGGGCTTAATTACACTTTCCTACGTGGTTTTCTTCTCACTCAATCCCAAAGAGTGGTTCCTGCAACGAACACACACACACACACACACACACACACACACACACACACACCTTCGCAATAACTTTGCACGACTACTTGCGAACTGGCATTTTTGCATGATTTTGCATGAATGCAAGTGCGGCTTAGATACACGTCCTTAAGAAACAGTTGCATCAATGCCAAGCCATTTTATAGGAGTTACCCTGCAACGCGGGCTCGTCCTTGCTAGGTGGAAGGGAACACATGCAGGTAAACATGTGCGCGCTTGAGGGAACCAGTCGTTATTGCACCTGTCATAATGCGCAGGACCTTGAGAGCACGCGCCTTCAGAGCCAGCGTGCGCCTCAGGAGGAAGCAGCGCTGGAGCTGCGAAAGCTTCCCTGAAACCTCAGCATACAAGCATATGTTGAATGCTGGCTTTTACGACGGATGTCTTGCTAGCAAGCAGCATGAGTGACTAAGAGGTTCATTCAAACTGCGAGCGCGGCTAATACATCTACCAACATGTAGAACCCTGTCAGTCGTCTGCAGCATGCTAGCTTCGATTCTTTCGCACGGACTGTGCCCATGGCTACACGATTCTTGACCATGTTGCCATCGTCAGTGTTCGTATTCCTTCTGCAGTCAGGACAGTCATGGTCAATTTCGAATCTTGTTCTTCCTTCTCTCAGCTTGCAATGCAGCCGGCTGCCCCGCTATCTGGTCATTACAACCGGCTTCGAACCATTTGCTCTCCTTTTTCCCGATAAAGACTTTAGTTCCTTCCGAAGGATGTTGTTTTCCATGTGTCAACTTCTGCACTCACACTCGAGCGTTGTCCGCTTCCTTCAGTCTCTCTCAAGTCATTCGAGCGGCCTCTCATTGCAGTACAGGTTTCGGACACAGATCGAGGACAAGTTTGCAAAGGAGAACAAGCAACTCGAAGACAACATGCTGCAGCACTGCAATATGGGTAGTGTAAACGTCTGTCACGAACCGAGGAAGTTCATCCTCATGCAACAGCTCCGCTACATCAAGCGCGAGTTAAATCTTGAACGGGATGACAAGCAGTCGATCATTGCTGCCTTTAAGGACGCCGTTGCCGTGGCGGACAAGCTCTATGAACGTCCAACTGCTTTTTGTGGTTTGCCAGGAGTGTATCAAGAATTTAGGCGACAAGGTCCCTGAGGAGGCTGCCAAGGTGATGGACCAGGATTCCGAGAGCTCAATGCCATGTCAGCTTGCTACCTTTCCCGACACTGTCGGTGTGTGTGTGTGTGTGTAGGAGCTAAGCAAGCTCGGCACCCTGGAGCCGCAATCCGCAGAGTTCAATGCTACTCTACTCGAGACATTTTGAGACTTCCGCACTGCGCGTGCTGTGCCTGCCCCCTCCCTGTGCATCGAGGTTTCAAGAACTTACCTCGAGTGGCTTACTGCTCTTCCCTGGGGAAAGTTCAGCGAGGTGCTGCAGCCATCTAGGCTCATCGCGTCCCGAGTTAGCGACTCCCGAATTTGCGGCAGGACAACACTGACATTGAGAAGGCTGAAAAGATCCTGAATGAGGCCGTGGTGCAAGTGCGAAACTTTGTTTTTGCATCGACATGACTGATCATGACTGTGCCTCTCAGTTGTCAGGACCACTACAGCCTGGAGGACTCTTGCCACAGGATCACAATGGCATGACACTGCGAGTGTTGCAGGATGTCAAGGAGCGAATCCTAGAACACATGGCCGTGAGCTTCCTCAAAGGCACCGGGGTAGTGCCAAGTTCCAAGACTGCGCGCAGTTTTGTACGGGACGACTTCGCCCTGACAGAGAACCTGCCTGCCGTCAGGCTCTGTGCATGGGAAGATTATGTGTTTGGTTGGGCCGCCTGGAGTTGGCAAGACTTCTATCGGCAAGAGCATAGCCCGTGCTTTGGACAGGCAGATGGGGACGGGCGGGGTTGTCGCAACAGTGCCTGCTTGACGGCTTAACGCTCACGTCTTCCATCACCGACACACCCACATGATTCCACCGTTTTTTGTGTATTCACATTTATGCACTGTTCGTCCAGATGTATACATACATACGTACACACGCATATATCACACACACACACGCATATATATATATATATATCTATGTATATATATATACACACACTCCTTTAGGTGTGTATTTCTCTGTCTCGGACATGGGCATTCCACCGTATCTACTCGGAGACCCTGTGAGGCAGTTTTTCCGCTTCTCCGTTGGCGGGTTGCACGATGTGTCCGAGATTCGTGGCCATCGGCGAACATATGTTGGTGCTATGCCGGGAAAAATCATACAAGCTCTGAAAATCAAGCCCCTCGATTACTGCATCTATGATTCTGTGACATGTGACTTTTTGTCTTTGCAGGGGAGAGAGAAGACAAGCCATGGTTGAAGGCGGCTGATGATCTGTATCCCGAGGCAAGTCTCGAATCCCGTCATACTCGTGGATGAAGTCGACAAGTTGGGTCGTGACTTCCGCGAAGACCCCAGCTGGGGCAATCACGAATCAGATCAGTAGAGGGTTCGAGGTCATCAGTTCCGTGCTTTGCAGGTGGAGATCCTTCTTCGGCGCTGCTCGAGGTTCTAGATCCCGAGCAGAACTCCGCTTTCAGAGACTTGTACCTGGTTTCTTGGGTGCATTCAGTGATCACCTTTGATCTGTAGCCGACATTTTGGCCTTTCCCAAGGACGTGCCCATAGACCTTTCGAAAGTGCTCTTCATCTGTACTGCAAACGTTACGGACACGATTCCAGGCCACGCCCACATGCTTCATTGTGCTTCATGTCCTTGAAGTCTTCACCTGACTGGAAAGATGTCACTCTTTTGGGAGCTTTTTTCCTTGGCCTGGCAGGTCCTCTTCTGGACCGTGTCATGCCAGCACTACAGCTTCTGTGCGGCCATGTAGCCGGGCCAAATTCGCCCCGAGGTATGGAGGTCATCAAGCTGGCCGGTTACGTTTATGAAGAAAAACTAGCAATTGCCAACCAGTACTTGATCCCTCAGACCATCGCATCTCGGATTCAGTTTCGGGCTCCATGCCATTCCATGTCAAGGGGTTCTGAGATTAGATTGTGCTGCAGGCCACCAACGGCGTCCCCGAGGATCTCATGGAGCTGCAACCAGAGGCTGCTGTCAAAGCTTGTCAACATGGATACATCGCTGAAGCGCTGCGTGCGAGGCTCTTGCGGAGCTCATCCGCGATTATGCACGTGAATCAGGCGTGCGCGAGCTGCGAAAGCTTTTAGAAAAGATCACGCGGATGCTCGGACCAAAGTGCGGCGACAGCAACATTCTGCGCTAGCTAAAATGAGGTAGCTGGATAGTCATCCTTGAGCCACGGTGAGAAATGTATAAAGACAGAGCCCAAGTCTGCAAGGAAAGTGGCCTTGAGCCTTGTTCGTGTGGAGCAAGAAGCGCGTGAGCGCTCCATTATCTCGACAGAGAACTTGCGAAAATTCGTCGGCTGGAACCCTAGGTCCTAGAGAGTTCCTAGACTGTACGAACAGCTCGTGGAGGAAAGATGACTCATGAGGTCAGCCGCCGCATTCTTCGGAGCGGCGCCTCTATCGCAAGTTCGATGTGTCGATACATGCTCAGGGTGCACGATGCATCCAAGGCTTTTCATCCATACCCCGAGTGGTGTCGCCATGGGTTTAGCCTGGACAGCATTGGGGGGCCAAACGCTTTTTGTGGAGGCCAGCTGAGAACTGCAGATGTAACAGGGGCCTTTCGGAACTGCTCTGAGTAGCCGGAGGCCCGCGGTCGCGTGCCTGAAAGCACGGTGCCTTGGATTAGAGATATGCTCGAGCAAACACCACGTCGGAGTATGTCGGGGTCGCCGTTTGCGAAGCTAAGGACAGCATGGCAGAGGCTAGCCCATCTCTGGATGTAACAGCAGCAGCTGACAGCACCAGCGATACGCTGCTCGGTTTGTCTGAGGGCGGAATACAGGGATGGAGCAGCGAGCAGCCTGTGCACTTGAGTCAGTAATTTGCCCATTGCAGCGTTTCAGAAGGTTTTCTGAGAGAACCCCGCTTGTCAAGCTTCATGCTTGTAATTCGGGCCTTGAGAAAGGCCGAGAAAGTCGTAAGATCCGAAGTCCTTGCGACGCTAATCTTACCGGCTGCTAGTAAAGATGACGACGGCTGAGGCCATCATCTAGCTCTAAGAGCCCGCGGCCGCAGAATGCGGGACCGCGCATGAAGGTGACCGGAAAGCTGGGAAAGGCCGGCCTTTGTGCTGACATCGTGGGCGAAGGGTCGGTAGGTTCGGAGCATGATCTGAATGGCCTGAGCAGCTGTGGAGACAGGGAGCCCGCAATGGGGATCGATTCCTCCGGCCTGCGTGCTGCCAGGTGATGGGCGAGTCCAGTGAGATCGCTCTCACCTATGCGCGGATCTTCCTGCGTGAGCTTGAACCAAAGAATGAGTTCCTAGACCACGTGGCTCTGCTGCACTGTACCAGGCCCTAGGTTCCTGAGTCCGGTTCAAAAGCGCGCCGAAGAGCGCAGCACCCAGGCACACATCCACATGAACATGCCAGAGGGTGCCATTCCAAAGGAGCTGCTACAGTCCGTGTTTGGAAGATGGGGCATGCGCAGATATACGCAGCATCATGTCCGGGAGGATGGGCCATCTGCCGGAGTAACAATGACATCAGCTTTGCTCCCCGGTATCCGAGTCAGAAAGATTTCAAGCATCTTTTGTGTAGTATATTATATATGATCCCGGTTCGGCCGGCCCCCCCCCCTCCCCCCCCAATGGTTTCCTCCTCCCCCTCCATGTGGTGTGGTGTGGTTGTGGGTTGCTTCCCCCTC